AGCGCCGAGCTCTGCCTGCTGCTGCCTCCGCTCTGCTCCGGCGGCCGACGAAGCCCGGCAAGCCGGGAGCCGCCGGCATGGGGCCCGCTGAGGAGCTGGTCCGCATTGCCAAGAAACTGGATAAGATGGTGGCCAGGAAGAGCACGGTAAGGCGGCTGAGCCCCTCAGAGCGGGCGTGCACATTGGCACACGCGTGCTTTTTTACACGCGTGTTCGTATTTACATGCGTGTGCTTGCGTGTTTGGATGTTGCAGCGTGGCTCGGGACAGGGGAGGGAGGGAAAAGGGGGGGTTGTTCTGTGCACCCCTTTCCTGTTGCTTGTGGTTCTGGAGGGGTTGAGCAGGTTCAGGGGGTGCTGAGCACCCACAAGTGCCACCAGCACCCCGGGGTGCTGCCTGCGCCGCCCCGGCCCAGCTCGTGAGGTCGGAGCCAGCACCCAAGGGTACTTTATTTTGCTTCCAATTTGGGGTGGTCCTGCACCCCATTGCTCCTGGCTGTTGGGATTTGGGGCAAGTGGGGGGAGTCTGTCCCAGGGGTGGCAGCTCTGGGCACCCCTCAGCAGCGCAGGACTGTGGGCAAACGGGGGCGACAGGTGCTTGGCCACCAGCCCGGCCACCAACACCCGATCGGGGCCGGGGCTGGTGCTGCGGGCTCAGCCCGTGCAAGGGAAAACTCCTTGTTGGGGACCAGGCTGGGAGGGCACAACCCACCCCCCCAGCCCCAACCCCTGTTGCACGAGCGCGTGCAAGCGTGCGAAAGGAGGGGAAGGGCCCGAGCGGTGGCTCCTGGGTGGCTTTGGTGATGGCATGCCAGGGGGGAGCCAGGATCTGGCCCTGCCACCCTTTGCACCAGGTGAGGATCCATCCGGGGATCCTGGTGATCCGGTTACGCATGGGCGAGCAGAGCTGAGCCCAGCCCTTAAAGTTAATATTTGACCATTTCCACCGGCCTTTGCCCCAACAAGGTGCAGGCTCCCTTCGGGCAGGGGGGGGGGGTGCAGCACTGCCATCCCCCCAGATCTGGGGGGTTTTGGGGATGACAGCGCTTGGAACTGAATCAGACCCCCCGGGAGCTACACGGGCTCTGCTCCCCACCGGGAATTACCCCGGGATCAAGGGACTGATCCTGCTCACCCCTCCTGCCCAGCACCCCCGTGCTTGTGCTTCGGGGAGGGGGACAAGGCAGCGTCTGGCCGCAGTGGGGGGATGTCCCCTGCACCCATCGTATTGGGAGGGCCCGATCCAGCTCCTCATGGTGGGGTGGGGGGGTCCAGCCTGGCACGGGGCTGTCCCCTCTCGTGGGAGGATTATACCTGTGAGCTGGGGTCTGCTCCTGGGCCTCTAAAAATACCACAGAGGAGGAGGATAAGGAGGAGGGCACCGTGCCGGGGCTATGTTTAGCCCTGCAGCCACCGTGTGTCTGGGGGTCAGGCTGAAACCCTGGGGTGTGTGTCCCACGGCCCCTCGCACCCCTGTGTGGGGACACTCAAGTGTCCCTCAGCTGTCCTCAGCTCCCAGCAGCCCAGGGTTGCGTTACTGAGGGGTTTTCCCCTTTTAAGGGGAAGCTCTTGCTTCCCAGCTGGGAGACGTGACCCCGTGGTGGGATGATCTGGCAGGATTTGGGTTTGGGATTTTTCTATGAGCGCATCGCTGCGGAGCGTCAGGTGTTCCCCGGGGACCGGCCCAGGGCTGCTTTGTGTCCCCTTGGGGTGCCCTCTCCTGCACTGCCTGGTGCCAGTAAGAGGAAAGGGGGGACATGGGCTGCCTTGGCACAGCCCCCCATTTCTCTCTGGCTCCTCAAGGGCCCCCATGGCCTCTCCCCACTCTAGGAAGGGGCACTGGATCTGCTCAAGTCCCTCACTGGCTACACCATGACCATCCAGCTGCTCCAGGTGAGGCGGTCTCGGTGAGGGGCAGCTGGTGGGGGGACACCCCATGGGCTGGCTCATCCTGTCCCCTCCCCATGCCAGCTGGCACCTCCGTAAGGCCACATCCCTGCCGTGTGTCCCCAGACCACACGGATCGGGGTGGCTGTCAACTCGGTGCGGAAACACTGCTCGGATGAAGAGGTGGTGACATCGGCCAAAATCCTCATCAAGAACTGGAAGCGGCTGCTGGGTGAGTGATGCTGGGGAGAGGCAGGAGCCCCCCCGAGCCCCAACCCTCCCCAGGCCCTCCTGGCACCCCAAACCCCTGATGCTCTCTCGGTGGGATCGGTGCTGAGCTGGGACGGGCAGGCCCTGTGTGTCGCAGCCACCGTTACCCAGTCGGGTCCGGTGGTGCACGGACTTGTTGGATTTTCCAAGGGCTCGTTTTTGGTCTGGGATGGAGCAGTGTAAATCAGTGTGTCCCCCCGCCAAGGGCTGAGCATCCCCCCCAGCCATCCCCCCACCCCAGGGTGCAGCTCTTCACGTGCCCTGCAGTGGTTTGGGCCATGTCTGTGACATCCAAATCTGTCCCCCAGAGTCCACCACCCCAAAAAAGGAGAAGGATGTGGATGGGAAGAAGGAGAAGGATATGGACGGGGAGAAGGAGAAGAAGGAGAAGGGACTGGATTTTCCCAACTGCCCCAACGAAGGGGTGAAGCACCCCAAGAGCTCAGTGGAGAAACACAGGGAGAAGCACAAGGAGAGGTGGGGGCTCCTGCCTGCTGTTGGGGTGCACAAATTGTGTGGCCAAGGCATCGGTGGAGCTGATACGAGCCCATCCTCTGCTTGCCCCTTATTAGTGATTTGGATTATCCATCTCTGTCTGTCCACGGGTGCCGGCAGCACCGCTGGAGATCCAAAGGGCAGCTGCCTGCAGCCAGGGCAGCACCAGGGCAGCTTTCAGAGAAGGGAGAAATGGCATTTTTTTTCCTTTTCCCTTTTCTAGGGCTATTTATTTCCTGGGGAAAGCCTGTTTGGACAGTGCTCATCTGACCCTGCCCCACTCTCTCTCTATGTCCCTAGGAAGCCCAGCAAGTCCAGCTCTCGTGTCCCCACGCCCCGGGGCCACCCTCCTGACTCCATCCCAGAGAGGTACCTGCCGAAGGGCACAGCGACCCTCGCGCCAGGCTTTGCCGGGCTCTGCTGGGCACTGCCAGCCTGGGGGAGGCTTTGCTGGCAGCCTGGGGGCTGGTGAGGCTTTGGGGTGACTTGGCCGGGGATGGGGTGTGCAGATGGGCAGGCAGGATCCGGCTCACCAGGTCACAGCGGGGGATGCTGGGGCCAGGCTCACTGAGAGCATCTCTCCCTTCCTTCGGGCTTCTGCGGTGAAGAGAGTCCAGCGACAGCCGGAGCCCCACTGCGTCCTTGAAGAAGTCACCTCTGGATGGCAAGAAAGAGAGGTGAGTGCCGGGGATGGGAGAGGTGGGACCCCAGCCCCTAGCTGGGGGGGGGCTGACACGAGGCTCGTCCTGCCAGGAGAGACTCTGCTGACTCGAAGTCCTCCACCACCTTGGCCGTCTCCTCTTCCTCCCCACAGAAGAGACCATCAGGGGAGAGGTAAGGAGGAGGAGTCCTTGGGCAGCCTGGGGATGCTTTGGGGATCCCTTTGGGAATGTTCGGACCATGGGACCCACGGCTGGGGTGGGTAGAGATGGCTGGGAGCCCTGATCCTGCCACGAACACTGTGGCGTTCCCCATCAGGAGCAAATCCTCTGCCCCAGGGAGATTCCTGTTGCCTTCTCAGCACTCCCATTGATGTGCTGGTGCCTGAGATCCTGCCCCCTGTCCTACCTGCCCCATCTCTGTGTCACCTCCGCTGTCCCCCTCATGCCACCCCCAGGAGACCCTCTGCGGGCACCAGCCCCTCGTCAGCTCCCACCAGCTCTCGGAGAAACTCCAGCGACAGCAAAGAGGAAAGGTAAAGACAGATCCATCCCACTGCCATGGGACCCCCAGCAGGTCCCTCGGGGCTGTGCCAGGACCCTGGGACCCACCTGTCCTCCCCGTGTGCCCCTGCAGAGCCAACAGCAGCAAGGCCAAACCGGAGACACCACGGACCCCCACCACCCCCACCTTCTCGCCCAGCCCCTGCCTCCTGGCCCCCTGCTATCTCACGGGGGACTCGGTGCGGGACAAGTGCATCGAGATGCTGACAGCTGCCCTCCGCATGGATGGTGAGTGAGTCTTGGGGGGCGCTGCAGCCCCAACGGGGTTGTTTTTCCTATGGGATAGCCCTAATAGAAGCAACCCTACAATAACAAGCCAGGCTCTGTGTCCTGGGGCACCCCCAGCCCTGTGACAGAAAACTCACCCTGGACTTCTAAATAAACTGGAGCTGTAGTTCACAGCTCAGTGTTCAGCCCCAAAATGAAGGAAAAGGAGGTTGGTGGGGTCTCTGATAAGATGTGGGGATGGGGTTTTTTGTAAGGTTCAAGACAGGTAAAATTAGGTTTTTTAGAGATCAGGTGCCTGGGACAAATTGAGGGGGAGAAGTGAGATTTTTTTTTTCGGGGTTTCTCGGTGCATGGTGAGACCTGGCTGGTTTCACTCCTGAAAGTCACCCCCTGGCCTCTCTGCCCTTTAGATGACTACAAGGAATTCGGTGTCAACTGCGAAAAGATGGCATCAGAGATTGAAGACCATATCCTTTGGGGGGGCTGCGGGTCCCCAGGCTCCATCTGCTCGGGGACACACAACGTGGGTTTAAGACTGGTGGTGAGGACAAGGACAAAGGGTGACCGGGACAAGGACAGAGGGTGACGGGCTCTACTGTCCCCGTTGCCTGCAGAGGGAGCCCAGAGCTCAGTTAGAGGCCGATGCTGATGCTGAGCAGAGCATCCCTTGGACGTCTGCTTTATTCCGGGGGTCTGTGTGTCCCCCTCAAACCCCTTGCTCAGGGACCTGCCTTCATCCCTGGGGAAATAAAACCCAAACCAGCCAAGGTATCTTTTTTGACCCTGCTGTGGGTGCCTGTGTCTTTTGCTAGCCCAGCTCCATCGCAGTGCATGGGCTGTGCCATGCTGGCAGGGAAGGAGCCACTTCTGTTCACCCCCAGCTCAAGCCTTGGGGTCTCCTGGCAGCCCCCCGAGACCGGCACCAGCCCCAAGGTGGTTCCTCCTCCTGGGTACAATTTAATTTTTGATGTATCCCAAACTCTGGGAGTGTGTGCCTGGGGCCTCATGGGACCCCAAAGCTGCCACCTCAGCCTGTCTGCCCGCATCCCTGCAGGCAGCCAGCAGCTTTTGGGCCAGCCTGGGAGGAAAAGAGTGGGCTGCGTTCTTTGTGCCTTGAATGTGGCTTGGTGACAGCCCCTGTGCCCTGACAGCCTTTGGGTGTCACAGCAGGAGAATGCAAAAAATTGTTTTCCTCCCCATATCTCAAGCTGTGCTTCATCCTACGGAACCCGAGGAGGGAGAGACTCCCCTACACGTGGTCCCCAAGGGAGCAAAGCCCTGTCGAGATCGGCCACCTCCACGTGTGCATGGCCACTGGCCCTGGTGACCACCGAGCCCAGAGCAGCAGCAGGTGCCCACAGCGCTGCCATCCCCCCACCTTGCCCCTTTGATTCCTTGACAGACCCCACATATCTTCCAGGAACTGAAGAGCACAGACATGAAGTATCGCAACCGGGTGAGGAGCAGGATCAGCAACCTGAAGGACCCCAAGAACCCCAGTCTGCGGAGGAACGTGCTGTGCGGGGCCATCCTGCCCAGCCTCATCGCCCGCATGACCGCCGAGGTGGGCAGCGGGGTGGGGGGCATGAGGACCATGTCCATGAGACCTCCCCCATCCTCTGCTCTTGGAGGCTGTGTTGGTGCCCAAGGGCTGTCTGGGTCTTGGCTTGGTGGTGTCCATGCTGGGCTGGTCCCAGTATCTCCCCGTCCCACCCTGGGGCTGGCTGGGCCACGGGGAGCATCAGACACAGGGACAAAGCAGGAGACACTGCTTGTTCCCCCCAGTGCCCATCATGGAGCTGGGTGTGGGATATCATACTGGCAGGAGTCAGGCTTGAGGGTCCCCATTCCTCCTCCTCCTCAACCCAAGTCCCCAAATCAGGCTCCTGGGAGCCCAGCTCCGTCTGCTGGGAGCCAGGTCCCTGCAGGCAGCAGTTTTGATTTGAGGATGGGGTGATTTTTTCATCTGGATGAGCCTCAGCTCTCCAGCAAGCCCAGAGAACAGGATCAGTCCTGGTTCTGGAGAGGATGGGGAGGGGGATGGACCACGGTGGCTTGCACCCTGTGCCGGCTTGGACCACAGCTGACCCTGCTGCGCCGGTGCTGGTGGCAGGAGATGGCCAGCGACGAGCTGAAGGAGCTGAGGAATGCCATGACCCAGGAGGCCATCCGGGAGCACCAGATGGCCAAGACGGGTGGCACCGTCACCGACCTCTTCCAGTGCGGCAAGTGCAAGAAGAAGAACTGCACATACAACCAGGTCAGCCCCCCCCAAACCCCCTGAGGCTTCCCCCTATCCCCAGCAGAGCCCAGTTTGGGGGATGCTGGGGGGGGTCTCTGCTGACCCGGCCGCCTGCTCCATCCCAGGTGCAGACGCGCAGCGCCGACGAGCCCATGACGACATTCGTGCTGTGCAATGAATGCGGGAACCGCTGGAAGGTCTGTGCCCAGCTGGGGGGTCTCCAGGCACCCCAAGCCTTCCTGGCCCTGGGGAGTGGCAGAGCCCCCTGAAATGGTGCCAGGAGGGCTGGGTGAGGGCTCACGGCCCACCCTGGGCTCTGCTTCTCCTGCAGTTCTGCTGATGGCGCCCGGCGATGGGGCTGGAGGGAGATGTGAGACGGGATGCTGTGACGGCCACATCGGGCAGCTGGGGTGGGGAGGGAGGGTGACGAGGCAGCACCAGTCCCTGCACCCTGGCTCCCTGTTTCCTGGCACTGGGCTCCCTTGAACATCCCGTGGAGCCAGGCAACAGGCGGGCTTGCTTGAGAAGACCCTGGTGAATTCAAGCAGCTCCTTGTGTGAATACCTGCTCTTTGCTGGGAGCCCACTGGGAACAGACTGGAAAGGGAGACTGGTCTGACTGGGGAAGCTTGCCCTTCCCTGGGGGAAACCTGGACTTGGATGATTTGGGGGCAGGAGGGACATTGCCCCGTGGACACGGGGCTGTCCTGCGGGCCAGGGGTGGGAAAGGGCCAGGTTTTAACCCAAACACATTCTTCCTCACCTAAGTGCACGCAGTGGGAGGACACAGAGGGAGGTTGCAGGGTGTCCAGACGCCGGTGGGATGCCACTGTGTCCCTCCACCCTGTAACACATGGACCATCCATCCTGGCTCGAGGGCATGGTGTCCCCAGGAAGGAAGAAGAGATGGCTGGGAGAGGAGTGGGGAAAAACCCTCCAGCTAGAGCAATAAAGGTGTGAACTGTCCCTGTGGCACAGACTGCTTTCTGAAGGAGGTTTAGGACTTTACCCCCCTGGCTCAAGCCTCATGGTCTTCCTAGAGCCCCCGGCCAGCTCCAACACGTCTTGAATCCACCAGCCCCCAGTCTGGAGATGTAATGGTGCTTGATGCTCATCCATCAGCTTCCTGGTGATTAAAGACCTTTAATTAAGGCCAGAGTGGTTCCCTGGCTGGGTCTGGGTCCATGTCAGGGCAGCACCTCCACTGACAGCCAGGAAGGTTTTCCAGGAAAAAGGGCATCAGGGATGGGCCAGGAGATGCACCTTTGGCTACAGGAGGTGTGGGATGGAGCCTCATAGCACCAAGCTCATCCTTTGTCACCACCAGCCTCTCCCAGTGGCTCCGTTTGGAGGCAGCGAGACATGACAGGGATGCAGGTAAGGTCATGGTGACCGTGGGTGTCCGTGGTCAGGGGATGAGGGGGCTGCTCCTGTGCAGGAGTGGAGGAGGAGGACAGTGGAGCTGTCAAATTAACTGAATGTTAATCTTTTAACCTTGGGCTGAGGTGTGAATTTTTTTCCCCCAGGAAGAGCTCAAGGCAGTTTTGCACCCAGATTTGGGTGCTAACCCTCCAGCCTCTGGGGGTCCTGGCGGCCCAGGGAAGGGTCAGACACCCCCGAGCCCCCTCTCGTTAGCAGGCCAAAGTCAGGAATAAGCCTCCAAGGCAATTATTTACGCTTGCAAAGTGCGTGTGGCTGCAATTAAGGAATATAGTGGATTGTGGGGGATGAATAAAACATCAGCGTGACCTTGTGCAGCAAGAGGAGGGCAGGACCGAGAGGACCGTGGCAGCAGTGTGCAGGACCGGGGCTCCTGCTCTGTCCCCAGGATCCAGCCCCAGTGGGTGGGTGTCACCGGGGCAGGGGATGCTCTCTGGCATCCAGCTGTTTTCAGGGGATTTCGTGGGTTCTGGGTGGCTCTTGGGGACAGTCCCAGGGCTGAGCCTTCACCCCACTCCCCAGGGTGCACAGAAACACACGTGCGTGTTACAAAAAGCCAGTTCCCAAATTTCCAGTCCTCGAACTGGGATGGCTGATGGCATTCAGGGTCTGGCTGAGCCCCCCTGGGAGATCCCGCCTCCCCCCCCAGCCATCAGCCCCAGAGGTGCCATGTCCTTGGGGCTTTCCCCTCTCTCCTCAGATGATGGTCCCCTCCTCCCTCCACATCCCCCAGCCTGTCCGGGAGTAAGTGCAGGCAAGAAACCTGGCAGCTGCCTATCTTGCCAGCACTCAGCCCAGAAGATCTCTCTTGAACTTTGGGGGAAGTGGGCACTTCAAATCTGATTTTTCATCAGTGCTTGAGAAGTGTAGCCAATGCTAATGCTGGTTCCCTCCCCTGTACAGCCTCTGCAGGCAGGGAGGCTGAGACAAGAGCCCTCAAGAGCTCTGGGGCTCTGGCGCAGCCCTGGCTGAGCTGAGCTCTTAGGAGCGGGTGGCCCAGCTCTACCTGGGGCTGTTCGTGACCTTGTAGTGATGGAGAGGCCTGTACGGTCGGTCCCTGCTAGGGGTTGCTTTTCTCCCGCCTGGGGGTCCAAGTTTTGGATGCTCTGAAGCTTCAGCAAAAGCTGGTGCCTCTTTCTGCTTGTCCCTGCCTTGCCCTGCACGAGACGCTAAACCCTCGATGTGATGGAGGGGTTCTTTTCAACCTATAACCTGCAGTGCTTTAAACAACCCCAGGGTGTGCCCCTCCCCAGCCAGATCCCCCCAGCCACCACGGTGCCACCAGACCCCTTCCCCACAGCCAGCCCCGCCGAGCCACCCCCAGAGGACACTTTGTCCTGCACTTGCAGAATCCAGCACATAGACACCTGAGCATCTACGTTTTGCTTTGCAATCCCGCCTTGCCCAAGGTTCAACCCTCCCACACCCCAGCCCCCAGACTCGCCCGCGTCGTGGGGCTTCGCTGCTGCCCTTCTCCCCCGCATTTTTTCCAGCCTTGACAAAAAAAAAAAAAAAAAAAAAAATGTTCAGTGGTTTCCTTGGCAACCCCATTTCCCCATCCTCTCGCTTGATGTCTCCCAAACCCCCCTGGCCCTGGTTGCTGGCCCCCAAGTACGGCGGTGGGTCCCTGCCAACAGGGATGGAGTGAGAGGTGGTGGGTCCTGACTCCCCCCCATCAGAGCTGGTCCTGAGGGGGGGACCCTTGGTGAGGGCTTGCCGAGCACCTGGGCTTCTTGGAAAGGGGATGGGGCGGCTGGTGGTGAATTGTGGTGGAATCAAACCAACTTAATGCAGTTCTGGAGCTGGCCTTTACTCCTCCATGAAGGTCCCTGTGCTCACCCCACTCTGGGCATCAGCACTGGGGAGGGATTGGGCCCCTCCAGACCCTCTCTGGGGTGCTGCTGTGGCTGCATGGCCCCCCAGGAGGGTGACAGCGTCTTGGGGGCTACTACTGACCCACGGGAGCATCTCTGGATCTGCCAATGAAGCCTAATCCTGTGCATGCCTTGGGCTGTGGCATCGCAATCTAGTGCATGTCAGGATGCCTGAGCACACATCCCTCACCAGCAAAGCCCGGCACTGCCAGGTTTTCAGTCCTGGGGTGAGGAATTGGGGGACAGTGGGGCTCATACCAACCTCTCACCAAGCCCTGGGCGGGGGCATCCAATGCAGAGCTGAGTGTGGGGTGCTGGGCTCACCCTGCACCATCAGAGCTTGCAGATGAGCCCCGGACCATGGCAGAGCCCTCAGCTCCAGGCTGCACCCAGAGAGCTGCATTTGCCGGAGTCTGATCCTCATTAGGGCTGCCCTACAATTAGCCAGCAGGTCCTGCCGTCCCTGAGCCACCCCGCCGGCTCGCATGCCTCGCGGAGGCTGGGAACCCGAGTGATATTTATCCACAGCTTCATCAGCTGTTTTGTTTTCCCTCTCCTTAAAGGTCAGGAGTTCTGCCTGCTCTTCCCGCGGCAGAGCCGTGGGGATTGTCCTCTCCGGTCACCGGCACTGGGGCAGAGCAGCCTGTCCCAGTGACAACCTTACCCCTTGCCCCAGTGGCGTGGGAGCTGGCCACGCACCCAGCTTTAATCCTGCTTCATTCTCCTTCACTTCAGGGCTGCTTGAATTTGCGACAGGGGAAGAAAAAGTGCATTAAATGGATTAAACTGACCCTCCGCTTGTTCCAGGCTCAGAGGGACGAGCTGAAGGCGTGCCCAGAGAAAGGATTTGCCTTCAAAAATCCGAGCAACGTGCCAAAGCACGCTGCAAGGGCAGAGGGAAAACCTGAGACAGCATCGGCATCCAGGGGATGCACAGGATGAACAGACCCCAAACAGTCCCCGTTTGCAGGGATGGCCCTTCCCCTCCTAAGGGAATATCCCCCCCTCTTGTAGCCAGAAGGACTCACAGACGTTATTTCCACACCTCCAGCTCCTCGCTTGGGGCTGATATCCGAGCTCTGTGGCAGGGCTGGGCAGATTCCCCACTGCCCATCCCCACGCGGAGGTGCTCACTTGCAAGCTGAGCAATCAATAGGTAATTATCCACCAGGCACAGGCGCTCGCTGCCTCCCCAGACCTCAAAAACCACATGCAATATTTATCTGCCTGACAGGCGTGGGCTCTCGGCATGACCCGCTTTGCTGTTGTCAGTAGACAGGATTCAACTCTCCTGGGAAAACCGCCGCGGCTCTGCGGGCCACATCGCTCCCGCCTCCGAGTGACGTCCCCAAGGCGATGCTCGGCATGGCGGGACGGTGTCTGGTGCGGGGGACAGGGGAAGGGGCCAGCCCCTGAGCTAATTTTCTTTAAAAAGCTGGAAAATGCAGCACTAGAGTTGTTCCAGGGGGGAGGAATGATGCTGAGGGTGCTGAGAAGGGAGACAGGAGACCAGAAAAACTCCCCGTGCCCCAGTGAGCCAGGAAAGTGTCCCCCAGTACAGGGATGCAGCAGAGCATTGCTGAGCTCAGGGACACTGACAACGGCTCCCCAGATCCCAACAGGGTTGCTTGATACCCCCAAAACTGAGCAGACCCGGTTCCAGCTTTGACTTGGTGCTGGATAAAACCAAGAGCTGTAGAGGCTCTCAATTTTTTAGAGGACCCATGTCTACTGCACCACCTTCGAGCCGTGGCTCAGTCGGAGCTTTTAAAGCCCTCAGCTGCTCTGCTGATGGGCTTTTTTTTTTCCAGCTTCTTGTTTTAATTAAACCCCAAAGCTCTGGCTTTCCTGAGCACAAGGGGCATGGGAAGATGGAGTGTGCGGGAATTTGGGGCTGGATCCAATGGGTACGGGCTGTCAGAGGATGTAGAGGTGTGGTGGGTTCCTGAATATCTGGAGGAGCTGGGCAGGGATGTACGGGGCAATCATAGCAGGACACGCCAGGTGCTGAATAACACACAAACAGCACTAAAATAGGGGGAGAAAAAATTGCTGAGTCTCAGTCCTGGTTCCAGCTCCAGGCTAGGATGCAAACTGAGCAATTTCCTTTCTCCTTCATTGTTCTGTGTTGGTGAATCAGCTGCTTCCCAGCAGCTCTGAAAACAATACAGTGATTGCCCAAGCCAGCCCTGCGGCCCAGCCCAGATCTTCCCCTTCCCCAGCCAAGCCAAAATACTCAGAGCAAAGCCATGGATTTGGCCTGACTGGGTTTTTGTTTGTTTGTTTGTTTGTTTCCTGCAAAACAAGGGAAAAATAACAGTTTGTCACCTGCAGTGTTTGCAATCCATGGGAGAGAAATGGTTCACTGAGTTGTAGGGGTGCAATCCCACAGTGTCCTAAGTCATCCTCCAACCTCCCCCCAGGTTTTTTGATGATTAAATGCATCAAACGAGCCCAAACCTTTGCTTTTAAAACGAAAAGTGTTGCATGGAAAACTGCAGAAAATACTTTTCCTAAAGAAAAACCCATGCCTTTTTGTTTCCTGGATGAAGAGGTTTGCTGAGTCTGCAGAGCACTTTGATCTCAGCCTTCCTAAAATCACAGCACTTGGCAGGGATCTTTCTTCCTGCATTAGCTGAACAAGCAG